TAGTCATGAGCAACCTTTTAGCTAAACATCTAAGTATCCCTTCTTGATCCTGTGACTTTCTACCACAACAATACCATTCTTCTATACAATATGATCCCCCACTTCAAGAAAAGAAACCTTTCCTAAAGGAAAGGTTAAATCAAATACTTCAAAGCCAAGCCTCTCTTAAGAACGTAGAGAAGAATGGTCAACAGTTAGCAAATGCTTTTACCATATGACTTTAAGAGACCTTACCTAGTAATATAGAAATAGACACTATGTAGGAAGATAAGAAGGAATATAGGGATTCTGAAATGGAGGATGAAGAACTCATCCTATATGCAAGAGCACTTTTGAAAAGTATAGAACTTGAGGTGAAAGACAATTGTGAAGAAATGGAAGAAGTGGATGATCATTCTAATGAAAAAGAAGTAGAATCAGCTCTAGGATTGGACATTCTTGATAAATCTAGCATTGGTCCCACTGAAGTTGAACCTGACCCTTACAGTCTATCCTTGTCAATTCTATAGCCCTACAAAAATCAAATGCATAATACGAAATTAAATGGGTTAGATAACAAAGTTGATGAAGGTTGTTTGGTTGAAAACTTTATAACTTCAAAAACACCCCTTGTCAAGTTTAAGAAAAAATAAAACACATCACCCACTCTGATTATACCAACCATGGAGGAACCTTTAACCTTAGAGACTAACCATATATTTTGCATGGTTATACCTCTCTCACGAGTATTGAAGCTAGTGCCCACCTACCATAATCTTGCTGTACTAAAGACATTGATAGAGGTGGGAAATTTAGCTTAAATAATTAAGCACCACTATTATTTGGAGCTTTTCAATAAAGATGAGGTAAGTAAAAATACCATTAAATAGGTGGATGCTGGTGTGAAGTGTGGTGTAGTCACATAACCCTTTAGATATTTAGGTATGGTCCAGCCTAACTAAGACTGATGCTGCTTAGAAGGCAACCTATATTTTATATTAATTGTTATGTTTACTTGTTTTCTTTATTTGGTTCAAATAGGTTTACCTTGATTTTTATTTTGTTTTGATTTGTTTTAGGAATAAAGATGGAGAAAGGATGAGCGATGGAACCCAAACTATTTGACCATAAGAAACAAAGAACATGGAGTTTTCCTTTACCCCAAATTCTTAACTATTTCAATTGAAATGCAATGCAATTCAAGTGTGGAAAAGGGAAACTTTTGTGCTAAAATCTTGTCAAAAATTTTTCAAAAAGGTTACCACAAAATCTTTGTTTTCAAACCAAGTTGATATGCCTTCAATCATCATGTTGCAATCATAATTGATATTCCACAATTATTCCTAAGTGACTTATGTATGATCTTGAGACAAGTATGAGCATAGTGAAAAGATGAAGTGAAATCGTAAGCATGTTATTTGTGGAATTGTGAATTATCACCTTGATTTTTGACATGCATAAATCTTTGTGAAAAGTCATGTGACTATAAAATTGCATAAAGAATTAAGGCATAAGTATAACTTTAGAATTTACTTACTCACCCTTGAGGTGAAATTCTAGGTTGTACTTAACTTAAGACATGATTTAGGCCGTTTAAGCCTTTTTCAAGCCTATACATGAATAAATCATCCTTAGTACCTATACTTTGAGCCTAATAAATCTTTTTTCTTAATTATTTACCCATATAAAAAAGGCTCAAGCCTTTTTCTTATGAATTATCTCTTTTTCTTACCTAACCTATATTGCTTATGCATGTTAGAGACAAGATAAGAGAACAAATCATATTAGGGAGGTAGAGAGGCGTAAGGAAGAAAAAAAACAAAAGAAAAAAAAAACCAAAATGACTAAAGAAAAAAAGTGAAAAAAACAAAAAAATGGCCATGTGAAAAAATAAATAAATAAATAAAGATGCCTTTACCTTGAAAAACCTTATAAAAGTTCTCAAGTCCAAGTTTAAGTAAGCAAAAGAGTTCTACCCCTAAATTTTTTTTCCTACCTTAACCCAAGCCTTATATTACGAACCAATAAAAACCTATTGATCTTAAGTCAAGTATGTAAACCTACATTAGTAAAGATAGAATGAAAAAAGTAAACTTATGAAGCATGCTTCATTTTTATTCAATATGTGATGGTATGGTTTACATACTTTTTACTTAGATTGCATGCATAGATGAGAGATAGATTGGTTTCACATGTATTAATGTAATAGCTACTTATGATTAAGTTTTATGTACAACTATGTTCACCACTATCTTGATATTATACGATAGTGCACGATTGATAACTTGTGAAATTTTGATTGTGAGCGCATTTATGCGATTGTTAGCACTAATAACTTACGAATTTTGCTTAAGGACAAGCAAAAAACAAAGTGTGGAGGTATGATAACCTTATATGTCATAGCTATTTACATATCATTTAAGATTAAAATTTTGAAAATCTTCATGAATTTTGCTCAATAATGATGTAAATTGGTGATTTTCAGGTTTTACATGAAGAAATTAATTATTTTAAATGTCAACACCAAATCCCATGCAAACCATGCAAAAGTGATAAGGCTATGCAGGCAAAAATGAGATCTATGAAAAGATGGCAAGCATGTTCAACACATCAAGAAGCCAAACCAAGAAACCCATGCAAATCCAAAGGATATTTGGCCAAAGCTAAAATAAATGCCAAAGTGAATATTGGAAATTCTAATGAATCCCATGATTTATGTGGAATTAAGGAGACATGGCATTTTAATGCTGATTTGCTCAATCACACATGATATGAATTTCAATGCTTCACTAGATGCCTTTTTTGGATTGCAAATTATAGGCAACATTGGGTTAAACACAAAAGCAATTCTTGGATTTCTTAAATTTTTTTAAGAATCCAATATCTGTGCGGAATCAATGAGATATTGCCATGAATGTTAATTTGCTAAATCACCCATGAAATGGACTTTAATGTTTGACCAATTTCCCTTTTTGAATGAAAAAATATGGGTGGCAATGGTATTAAAGGCAAGAGCAAGATTTGGATCAATCACATTCATGTATAATTCCTTAATCAATGGGAGTGTAACTAATTACCTACCAAAGTCAAGAGTGTCTAGATTCATCCTCATTGACCAAAACTTACATTATAAATAGGCTATGAAGTTTACTTGTAATGCATCGCATCCTCCATCTTCTGCTTCTATCCTTTCTTCCACTTTTCTTTCTTTAGTTTATTTTTTAATTTTCTTTAGTTATTTTTTTTCCATTCGGCTAAAATGACAACTTAGCCTTTACTTTTGCTAACATTTTTTTAATATTAAGTCTTTTTTACATTCACACAATCTCTCTTTTATTAAGTTTAATGCAAGTAAATTGTTTTCTCTTAATCTCCCTTAAGCACTTTTGTTTACATTCTAAAGCTTTCGATTTGTTTATTATTGCACTTAATATAATTCTGATTCACTTAAAATTCCCTTAAAAGCATTTTATTTTTTTACATTTTAAACTTGCAATCATTTTTATTTCTTTGAAGCACATTTGGCCATTCCCATTTTGCATCTTTAAGCATTTGGTTCAAAGATTTTTTTTGCAAATCTGTTTCCTTTTACTTTGTTCCATTCAACCTACACCATTGCTAGCAAGATTCTTATTTTGTTTAGTTGGTTTGCCTTTTTACATTATCAAGCTTATTAGTTTTCATTTCAGTCTTCCATAATTTCAGTTATCTAGATATAAGGTTAAAAGGCATACTTTCAATACTTGATTTGGCATCACCATATAATCCTCAAGGAAATAACAAACCCTACTTTTACTCTTATTACTTGCTAATGACCTGCGCACTTACAACCTTACAAAAAAAAGTAATCAATTAGTATTAATAAAATACTAAAATATAAAAGTTAGCATATTGATTTTAATTTTTTCAAATTGTATTAATTCATAATCTGAAAATAACCATTTGATAAGAAAAATATATAAATCAAAATTTTAAACTTTTCATGTTGTTATCATTAAACTTAATTAAAATGGTAGGAAAAGGAAAATATATGAGATATTGTCTTATTAATAATATTTCTATATTCAATTTATTGTGAAAAACTTTTCATATTTCAATAACAATTGAATTTAACTGAAATGATAGGATATAAAAAGTAAAAAGAAAAGAATGTTAATATAGTAATTTCAAAACTTCATATTCTATTAATTAATAATTTGAAAATAAATATTTAAAAAGATAAAGTAGTATAAATCAACTTTATTTGAAAAACTTTTTATACTTAATTAACCATTTAATATAATTAAAACATTAAGAAGACAAAGAGTCATAAAATATTATTATATTAATTTTAATGTTTTCATATTTCATGGATTAATGATTCAAATATAAATTTTGGTAAGATAAAAAAAACACATTTTTGTACTTCTAATTATTTGGATTTTTACAACTATTATATTCATTTTATGATTATTTATTGGTTTGTTTATGATTTATGATTTTCTTCATTTAATTCATAAATAAGTTTGTTGTGGTGATAGAGAATAGAGATTTTATTCCATTAAGATTTCATTTTAATTTTTTTAGATTTCATGATGTTACTACTGTAAGATTATATGAGGTTAGTTTGTCTTTTTCTTTTTTATTATGTTTTTTTTCTTCACTTGAATTGTTATTTTAATTTTTTGTTTCTTTTTTATACTTTCTTGAAATATTTTTTGTTTTTAATTTTTATCCAATGAATTCAAAGAACAACTTTTCAAATTTTAAAAAACTAATTATATATATATATATGTGTGTGTGTGTTAGTATGTGTGTATTTTTTGTGTACACACATATTTATGTGTATATTTTTAAATATTTATTTTTTAAAATAAAAGCTAACCAATACAAAACAGGAGTTAAAAAGAATTATATTAGAGCACATAATTATACAATTTAAAATCTCTTTTTATATTTATAAATTTGGAGATAAAAAAATTAAAATGTACTACTCGGCAAAAAAGAAAAAAAAGAAAAAAAATAGTATTAAGTATACTATGGTATTTCTAAGTCTACGGTCACTCAATTTACTTTACTACCCATTATCGTTAATTTCAGTGATGGCAGTAAGGTCAGTGAAGCCTTTGATTTCAGAATCCATGTTCGGTGACTGCCACGCTCGACAAGCCACATTGGGTACCTTCTACAGGAAAACACAATTCCAAGCTTCTGCGACAAAAATGGCATCCCCTAAAGCAGAAACCAACAAAAATTCTGTCAAAGCCAAGACCATCGATTCACATTTGCACATTTGGGCATCTCCTCAAGAGGTAAACCGATCTGTTCTTTCTCGCGTTACACAATTTCTTTGGTCATATTGGTACTAAAGGTTCTGTTTAAGTTCAAGAAACTAATTTTCGAGGATGGCTAACAATCCTTGTCTTTCTTTTTTTTTTAAAAAAAAAAATGTTTTTATACAGGCTGCTGATAAATATCCTTACTTTCCCGGGCAAAACCCCACTTTGCCTGGACATTTGGATTTCTTGCTCCAGGTAAGCTGTAAAAGACTGCCTTTTATGAGCCTGAGCCTCTTGCTTTCGCTTATTGTACTTCTGGGCAATCATCCAATGATGAAATATGGTTAATTCTTTTCTTCCTGCAGTGTATGGAAGAAGCAAGTGTAGATGGTGCACTGATTGTCCAGCCCATAAATCACAAATTTGATCATTCACTGGTGACGAGGTCTGCTGAAACATTAGAATAAATAGCATTTAGCCATTTCTGATTATTTCTTTTAATATTTTATCCACCCTACTTTTCTGTGAGAAGTTACATTTTATGAAGCTATAAAGCCACATGAACGTATTGGCTTGAAATGGATAAAAAACACTGGGTGTTGACAAGAGTGCTGCACATGGGCTATGCAAGTATTATGATTGATAATTTAGCATTTTGTTTATATGACAGAGGGTTAAGGCCGATGATTTAAAATTAGGATTTGGTTATACTTTGAGCAACATTCCTTCTAAGGCCCTTAAATCATAGTGGAATGATCCAATTGTCATCAAAGGTTCATGTATTTGACAATATTTTCGTACTAACTCATTGCTTGCATAAATGAGGAAAGCATTGCATACCTAACACCAACATAATGATTGGATAGTGTCCTCAAGAAATACCCCACCAAATTTGTTGGTTGCTGCCTTGCAAATCCTGCAGAAGATGGAAATGGGGTTAAGCAGCTTGAAGATCTTATTTTGAAGGTTTTTGAATTATTTTCTTTTATCAGATAACTCCTATTTTTGTTATATTTTCTTGGGAGAACCATTCTTAGAATCTGATTTTTCATGCCAGGATGGTTATCAAGCTGTTCGCTTTAATCCTTATCTATGGCCTTCTGGTCAACGGGTATTAATCTCAGAATCTTTTTCAGCTATTAGGCAAGATATCATCCCTTTACTGTATTATAATCCACACGAAGTTCCATAACACTCAATCCATATATCTGGTTTTAATTGGAGTAACTGGTTCCAAGTCTAAAATAAAGCCAGGATGTCTTGTTCTAGCCTTTTTCATTTATATTAAATTGATAAATACCGATTGTTGGTCCTGAGGCCAATCAACTCATTGAAGAAACAAAGCATACAATGAATTAGCAGATGATTTTTTTTACATTGAAATCCTTTTAAAGTATTTACCGAGAATTTTGGTAAAAGTTCACCTAAATTATATGTTCAATTGAGATGACCCTTCCAGGGGAAATTTTTTAGGTGGACTGGCCATATGAAATAAATATCTTATCATAAATAGACATGTAAACTTCAGATATGAATCATATATTCCTTCAAGGTATTTTATTTGTATCATGTGGTGGGTTGTTACTTTGTTATTTCTTTTATACGCAATAGAGGGAAAGAACTAAGGCATACTATTACTATTGTTATAGTGATATTTTTGTCATTCTTAATAACCTAGATGACAAATGAAGTTGGCAAGGCAATGTTTTCTAAAGCAGGAGAGCTTGGAGTGCCAGTGGGTTTCATGTGCATGAAGGTACTGTAGTTCTCCCCTATCTTTAATCAACTTAATAGAAATGAAAAAGCTCATGTGATCTTTATATATAATCAGAATAGGGAATGATCTTAATTTTCTTTCTGAAGGGAGAATTTTACTTTGAACTTAATAGTACTAGATGATTCCATAATCTATTTGTTCTGGTGGCGAAGTGCTAATCTGAAGTCTGAGTCTATATTTGGCTGATTGGGATGATATCATCTTCATGAAATGGACATTTTCAGGGCCTCAATCTTCATATTTCAGATATTAAGGAACTATGCACAGAATTTCCTTCAACAGTTACTTTGCTTGATCATTTGGCTTTTTGCAAACCACCAACGTAGGCCCTTGTGACTAGTCTTTTTCGGGAAAAATATTTCAACCTTAATCTTTGTAAAGACCATATTTACTATTCTTTTTGTTTTACCTTGCAGAAATAATGAGGAAAAGCTTGCCTTCTCTGAGCTTTTAAAGCTCTCCAGATTCCCACAGGTACAGAGACATATATACCATCAATCTTCAGTGAATTCATGGAAATATTCCTTGTGCTTTTCGTTTTTGCTATTCCCACCATCATGAAGAAACAATGGCCATTGGAAATTTCGTTTTAGTCTAAACACTGGTGGAGAGCATTAAATTTCCTCAATTTCCAAAAATATGACCTTGGAAGAAGCGGCTCTATGGCTCCTTTCCCATATAACTTTAACTAAGAGTCTTAAATGTTTCTAACACTATTTTGGAAAGTTATTGATGGTAAGCACCTCCTTGTTTATTATAAGAAACAGCCTAGGGTCTTCTAGACCATTTAAAATAGCAGCAAGAAAAGAAGTCAGCTTTTATCAAGAGAGATATGCACCATTTTAGCTCTAATTTATGCTCTAATTTCAAAGCTTTTTTGTATCATCTGCACTTGTTTTTGGTGGATGAATGTGATTCTTTTTTATACTTGAGGTTGCCAAGAATTAAACCACAATCATTATAACTAAGAATTCAACGCTTTATTAACAGATCACACAATTTTTGGCAGTAGTACCCAATTGAAATATAATATACTATTAGTCATTCAGATTTAATTTTAATCATTCAGGTATATGTCAAATTCAGTGCATTGTTCAGGGTGTCAAGAATGTCATTCCCCTACCAGGATTTAGTTCCACTTCTCGCTGAAGTTATCTCAAGCTTTGGAGCAAACCGTGTCATGTGGGGAAGGTAACTGTCTGTCTAGCAATTATCTTTTATTCTGCCACGTTTCAACCTAAAGTTTAAGTTCTCAAAGAAGAGCGGGGTGGGGGTGGGTTTGCTGAATGGGGTTTATTTGACGACAAAGGAAAGTATAATGGAGATTTTTTTAATGTACAATTGCAGTGATTTCCCATTTGTTGTTCCTGAATGCGGATATAAAGCCGCAAAAGAAGCAGCATATCTTATTGCGAGTCAGGCATCTTCGTCATCTTCCGAAGTAGTATGGATCATGGGTAAAACATTAATGCAACTCTTTCAAGGTCAATGGCTTCCTTAGGCAGGCAGAGAATTTCTTTAATGTCAATGAGCTTGTCTCTAGTAATTTGGAATTTAGCTCAACTAATTTATGCAGTCATTCTTAAGAAATGACATATAATAGGTTTGAAATTCGAATTCTAATATCTATAATTTCTTCTATCTTCAGATTGCAGCCTTTTTTATACCTTTCTTTGTATAAAAAAAAAAATGACTTTATCTCTAGTAATAAGAACATACTAAATCTTTATCTTGCCTCGTTAACATGTTTTTCTGATGTACATTATTACTATTATTATTATTATTATTAGGATTTAGAAATTTAAATCTTTTATGAGGAAAATCATTGACCTATAGATTATCCTTCAAAAGCATATCATAATGGTAGAGCTACATGGTTAAATCCGGTCCACTTGTATATTTTACATTGATGACTACTATATATTATCTTTTGATTTTGGGAAAATCTTTAACTGATTTTTATATTAATGAAACCGGAAAACGACTGTTCAAAGAACTTGTTTAAGAAATGAGAGGTACTGTTTACAACCTCATTTTCTCTCTTATGCATCCCATTATTATTAACATCCGTCCTTTCTTTCCTTCACACCTCGAATTAAAACACTAATTTTTTAAAAAACCAAACATCCTAAACTCCCTTTCTTTTTTCTTCACCAAAACCTTAAATCTTTTAAGAGTCCTAATTCAAGGTCCAATTTTGATTTTGATGTTAGATAGCTTAAAATCATAGGTAAATCATTTATTTTTTATATTTTTGTTTGATTTTGTATTTAGTTTCCAAAGATTTAAGGTTTTATATTTAGAGATGCAATTTAAAGATGTGATTTGAGTCTTTTAGATATATATTTTTGAATGCGTTGAAGTTTCCGAAAATGAATGTTCGAAAACTTCTTCAATGTATCGACAATTCATTTTGAAATCTTTTTTTGAAAATCCAATTTCAAAAACTTTTAAAAATCATTGAAAACATATTTTCGAAATTTTTTAATGGTTTCTAGACATTCATATCCGGAATCATTCAAAAACTTTTGAAAATGAATTTTCGATACATAATAACATTTTACCACCTATAAAAATCAAATAACTTCATAGTATACAAAAATTAACTTATTATTCCATTAGTAGACTAACAACTTTATCAATAGGGATCTTTAATCTTTCAACCACCAAGCACTATACATTAAATAGCATTTACAATATTTTTGTAATTTTGATAGATGCACATATGAAAGGAATCACTTAGTATGAAAAGACCGCTTATGCAAATTAATTGTTGCATCATGTGAGATGGAACATGATTGCCTCATTGCACATGGTACAGTAGCTTACTTACACAAGCACTTTTTGTATTAAGCAAATTTTTTAAATGCACGTTTGTTAGAATTGATAAATGTTTCGAACATTATTAAATGAAAATATCTGATCGAAAAATTAAAAATTTTTATTATCGCAATTAAACATCGCATATATCGAAGAAATCATTGTATATCAATTTGGATATTGCAACAAACAAACTAAAGTAATAAATTATTTCTGAAAATGTATTTTCGGATAATTGTATTGCTTTCCTAAAATAAATTTCTAAGTATAATTAAGAAGTTTTCAAATTTGTATTTTTGATATATTGAAAAATTTTCTAAATATTTAGTTGTGATAATTTAATGAGAATGGATGTAAAGGATAAAAAAATTAATTAATGGATATTTAAAATTTTTTTTATTTGATTAATTTTGTGCGGGTGTATCGAGAGTTTTTGGGGTGCAAAATAATCCCACCCTCAAGAAAAATGTAAAGCATTACCGCTTTAGCGTGAGATATGTGGAACTTGCTCAATAATTACTTTTACTTAAAAATTGATCTTTGGTTCCAAAATTTCTCAAATCTTGCAGTTTCTCAGAAGACAACGAAGCCACCATTGTCTAGCTAATCACCTCAAAGTCCATAAGGATGGTAACTGGAAACAACTTAACAGCAATTACCATACATGACAAAGGATAGATTTGATCACAGTTGTGTTTACTAATTTTATTTGTTAGGTAAAGCATTAATAATTATATGGATAAACATGAACAGAAACGAGTAAAAGTTTTAAACATTTGCAAGATACATTTGTTACGGGTTTATTGAACAGGTGGAAATAAATTTGATATTACATGATTAAAAACGATTAACCTATTTAATTTTCTTTTAAAAGAATAAATTGCTTAAACAAAAAATAGTTTTTATTAGTAATTTAATTTTAACATTCATAAAAATAACTTTACAAAAATCCTCATAAAGTTGGTGAATAATTTTATAATTAATTGTTCAAAATCATTATTAAAGGGTTAAAATGATCTTTACATATTTACACTAAAGGATATGTAAACGATTTAAATAAACCATATCATAAAAATTAGCACCATAACACCATTAATTAAAATGAATTAGATATTTTTAACGAGTTAAACCCCTTCACAGTGTTAATGGAAAATGATCCGACTGAAGATCACTAGTTCAAAATAAAAGCCTATCATTAAAACGCTAATAAAAGAATTTAAGAATCGATTCAAAAAGTTAACTGAAACCAGCTTCAAAATATAAGAGCTCTCCTTGTAAGATTTGTTAGTCTATACAAATCTATAGCTTGTCATTGACTCACGGTACTTGTCCTACCATTGGATTTCTAAACCGGGCATCCTGTATTCTCATTTTCACCAAGGAGATAGAAAAAAGGGAAAAAAAAATATAAAAATTTTTATAAGACGCTTTCCGCCAAGAGCTTCGAACCCATACAGCTTACAAGGGAAGATGTCATACAAAATTACAGAAGAATCGATCTAATCATTTATACCGTGTATTTCACCCATCATAATGCGATTGCTTGTGATTTTAAAACCAAGAAGTGCAGGATCAATCTGCCTCCCTTTCTTTCCTTTCGTTTTGCCACCCCTGCCCCCATGGATCCCATCGGAAGACTCTGGGCCCCCTGTTCCATGGACCTCCGGCACAGCATTCTTCTGTGCGTTACTTCTCAACATATCAATAAATGATGCCTCTGAGACGTCACCATCGCCACGTGATGAGGTACTCCGGAAGTGCATCTCTTTCTTGGCAGATGCCGCAATGTCCAAATGGTTTGCAAGATTTCCCCCAGGTTCTCGCTTTCCTCCTGGGAATAATGCAGACATGAAAAGCATTACTTTCAAGCAGTGTAGACTAGAGAGAAAATATAATAAACCAAGTCAGGTGTTATTGAAATAATTCACGTTCCTCAATGATTTACCACTACCCATCTTTCCCCCGTGTTTCTCACTAAAAGGTTTTAACAGATATAAGTGATTGAGATGCCCATATTACCCTCATTGCTGCTTAAAGAATTTTTTCCCCTGATAGGAGGATCTGAGTCACAATCAGACAATCCTTCCTGAGATAATGAAGCACGGAAGACGGGTATATGCCTCAGCAACATATTGTCTTGAGCTTTGGCAGGGACTTGCACACTGTCAAAAGGACAAAATGAGCAAAGCATAACTATGATGCATTCGTCACTAAAGAAAAGGTGAAACCCACTAGTATAACAATACATTATTAACTACAGTCATCCTCCCGCACATGTAAATTTCCAACTGGTTGATAGCGAAACTATAGGCAGTATAAGAAAGACACTCCTATTGCATTCAAAGCTGCGGTTATTTGAAAATGAGAAAACAAGAAAAAATAAAAAAATAAAAAAATAAAGTGGCCGATGCATGATGGAATAGTTGTTCCAAGCAAAGAGACTAACTCCATTTTCTCCCAGTTCAATAGTTTAATGCCATAGTAAGGCAACCAGTACAATCAGACAAGATACCCAATGGGTCGATAAGGTGAGGCAACCAAAAAACGCAGGATCACTTTCTAAGTTTAAGTCCAAACTCAGTGCAAATGTTTGAAAAATGCTCAGTCATAACACCTTTCATGGCCATCCACGCTTTAAACATACAGCTTCTCAACAGTATCCAGTTTATTAAAGTAAAATAAATAAATAAACTACATGAAACTAACCAATCTCTGGCTATATCGTCCGAAAATGAATTGCATGATCCAATATGGTTATTGTAAAAGCCAGCAATTCCACCTATAAGAATTTCAAAAAATCAATTGTAAGTCATATTTCCCTTTTTCTTTTCAAGAAGGAAAGCAACATATCAAAAACATATAACAAAAACATTACCAGAGACACTGAATGAAGAATGACTGCTAAGAGCATTAATCGGAATCTCCCCTTGGTTTGCAGAAGTAAACCCTCCTGACTTGTCCATGCTGTCTTGACCCTCAAACATTGAGCCTACAGTCACTGCATTGCTTTTAGATCCCTTCTTTCTCCACTCCACATCTGACAACTCTTTGCTCGCAGTTAACAACCCAGTCACATTAGCACCTCCATAAATTGCATGACCATTCTCACTGATGGGTGACAAAAATGGCTGTCCCTCAGAAAATGCTACAGATTCAGCTCTAAATGGCAGCCTTTCATTGAATTCTGAACCGCCAGCCAGCTTATCAGTGAAAGAAATATGCAACGGTTCAGATGAACTTGAACTGTAAGAATCTACCACAAATGACTTGTTTATACCTGCATCTTGCCCTGCTAGAACACTAAATGGGTGATCCAAAGAACTTGATCCTGTATAGATGCCAGATGCGAACCTATCTAATGGCTCAGGTTGATGGCCCGATTTCTGATGCAGCAATTCCATCAAAAATTGCCTGGACTTGTCATCATTGAGCCTGTCAAACATCCATAAGCCAGGATTCTCTGAAGTCATTTTGAATTCTGAATGCCTTTTCTGCCGTTCAGAATTGAAATGCAATTTCTGGATTTGAGGTTCTATCCAGTCATTTCCCAGTTGGCCATTGCTCTTAGACCAGTAGCTGTCATTTGCATCCAATTGAGAAGCATGAACCTGATTGGGGACTAAAGAGTGGTGAGGATTATGAGGGTGGACACCAGAAGAAAATGTTACAGCTTGACCAGCAGATTGCATATGAGTGGTTGGCTCCCGTGTATCTAAACCTTTAGCACAAAACATAGCATTTACTACATCCTTATTAACACCAGAAGCAACAGCAGGCAAAGACATTGATCGCTCAAATTGCAACGACGAAGGCTCAAAAAGCCCTTGATGAAGCTGCTCCTTTAATGAAAGATTGCGTTCTAGATGCCTTAGCTGCTCCTCATGGATAGGCCTTTGCTGTTGTTGATAAAAGTCTAATGGGCTAAAGCCTGAAGAATGAAGTCGGTTAATACCAGTATGGTTCCTAAGAAGCTGATTGGTCTGATCACTTCGCCATATGGAGTCTAAATCATGTTCTTCATTATGCTGTCTCAGTCCCATTGAGAGCTGCCTCTGCAGCTGCTCTTGTTGAAGAAGCCAATGTTCCAAAGGCTGTGATTGTCCATGCTGTGCCAGCAAAATTAATTCAAATAGGTTCCTTTGAGGCTCTTCTAGTGGTGCTTGACCAAATTTTGCTTGAATAAGCTGCTCTGTTGATGGAACATGTCTTGGATGATTATGCGACTGTTGTTGAAGCTCATGTACAAGCCGCTGCTCTAATAAAACCTGATCAAGAACATTATTGGATCTGCTAGGATCACAATGCGACTGCCCAAGGCCAGTGTCAGGCACTTGACCACGCAACAGTTGCTCAAGGAGAAGTTGTTGAACTTGAGACTGCTGTCTCTCCCGTAAAAGCTTTTGCTGCTGATGGAACTGTATCTGTTGCTGCAATTGATACTGCTGGAGTTGAAGCTGCGGCTGCTGTTGCATCTCTAGATCCAAAAGGTGTTCCACATCTGGTGCAGAAAGGTTGGACAATTGTCGCTGCTGAAGAAAATTCTGATTCTGACTTGGCACATGTTCCAGAACCGATTCATTAAGGCGTCCATGAGGAGACAACATATTTAGCTGTTGGAACTGCTGTTTCTGAACTTGTTGAGACATAAGTAGCCCTGCTACATCAAAATGGTTTGATTCTTGCTCCACATGCAAAATATGCTGAGCAGCCAAAGCATCTTGAAACAAGTTGTGGTCAGGAAGCACACTTTTCCTATAAACATCAGACCAAGGCTCTCCAGAAACAGCTGGATCAGCCACAGAACCAAATGGAGCAGCCCTCCCAATGCCAAAAGGAACATTGGAAGGTTGGTTGTTCCTTGATTGAGCACCTTCAGGCTCAGACCACAATAAGACAAAATGATGCAGCTTATTACCACTTAGATTTGGTACATCAATTTCGGTCAACTCATTTGGAAGAGACAATTGGCTACCAGAATTTGCCACAGGATCATTAACATGGCTAGAAGACTTCACAACACGATAGCTAGAATTTCCAGATCTTCCCGGGAATACAATTTCTGGAAAGAAACAATTAATCATCAGCATAGAATATATAGAAGAATTGGAACTACTGGTTAATACAGTTCAAACACACTGAATAAGTATAAATAAAAAGACCTTCATCTTGTGCAACAAAATCTTCAAAATTTTGACCCTGAGAATGTGGCATCTGCAGTGGAGCCTCAGGCTCAGATATTCTCGAATGAACATGCTGAGATGAGAGGTTGTTGAACTCAGACAGTGGGTGATGCAGGTCATTCTCTGTGGATGAATCTGGAATGTTGCTGACTGGAGCAGAAGCAGGTGTACTAGCTTCCAAATTTCCTCCCAAAGCCCCAGACTCCTCTAGCTTACAATTCAAATTAACAATGCCGGCATGTCCATCTTTGGCTTTCAGCTGTGGCATGATATCACCCAATTCTTGAAAAGGAGTTCCTTTAGGAGAATCTCCCAGACATACTGGCAAGTCAAGCCCAAAGAAACCCTGCTCAAACCATATTATGATGTCAGCCGCAAGGAACGGACCCTGGGTATTCCCCTGAGGATCAATGTAAAACAAAGTAAACTCCTCAGGAGAAATTGCTGCTCCCAAACTCTTTGTCCCACTTTTACTCTCCATTAGCTGCCCATCACTAATCTGATTTTGCTCAAAGGCCACATGAAATAGAGAACTTGAATCACCAGGAAGATTCAATTTGATATCAAAAAGTGGGGTTGGCTCACTGCCACCAAATCGAGGATGGCCAGAAGAAGATAATTCCATCTGCCAATTTTCACTCATATTAGGGTGAATAGAACCAATTTCTATTGCACTGCAAAGGCCATTAGGTTTAGGGACTGTAGGTATAATTCCATCTGAATTTGATGGACTAAAAGCGATTTTATCCTCTTCTTCATGAGTAACTCTTTTTCCTGAAACAAAACACACTTAATTTCCTTCCTGCATCTAAACAGTTGGAGCACCATATTTCCAATTTATGTAAAACCAGGACAAGGACTTAAGCCAAATTATCTTTCCCTTTTCGAGTAATAGACAAATCATCACTTACCAGCTTCAATAGGAGCTCGATAAGCATCAGCACTTGCAGCTTCTTGTAAGGTATCATTAGTTGCTCCAGTAGGAATGTGACTGAGGATACCCTCTTTACCCTCAGAGGATTCTGAGTCTCCAACTTCTACACAAGGAATTGAAAGAGTCAGATAAACCATCAAGCATAGAAAATTGAGGGAAGATCGAAGTATAAAGTTGTACCTGAGACATTTTCACTTGATTTCCCCTGTCTGCATGAATTGTACACTACACTATTGGTAACCTTACCCCTCCATATATCACTAAGGATAGCCTGTAAGTGTTATGAATATAAACTAATCTATTACCAGAGAAATGAAAGACATAGAGTAACAAATCACTATATGAACAGAGGAAAGCTAATCACAAAAAGTATATGTTACCTCCTCTTCAGTATCAGGTGCAAAAAAAGCCAATGGTTCAATAATGCCCACTTGAGTTAAAGGAGGTGATTCTTCCATCCCATCAGGCATGGCAGCAAAAGATGGATCAAGCTTTTGCCTGCGATAAATGTCAAGCAACTTACTTCTAGGATAGCGAAAAGTACCAGCAAAAAGGTTTGGTTTTCCAGGTAAAATTTCACTTTTAAATGAGTGAATGGCACCGATAGGGCTTGCACATGATGACCTTCCAACACCAGTTGACCTTCCCCGTCCAATGGTAAAACCAGGGTTATGATTCTCCAACCTTCCTTTCTCAGGTCCAAATCCAGGAGCAGGACGAGAGGTAGTTGAACCACTTGAATGCAACTCCATTCTATGTCGTGGCCTCCATTTATCATTAGAATCTATATCACGCTCAGAACCCGAACGATTGCTACTAACAAATGGCTGACTGTCACTTTTAGTATTTTCCTTCTCCTTCTCAGTGTCCATCCTCTTCTCAAAACAAGATTCCTTCTCTTTGTCTTCAGGACCCCACCTAGATGACCATTTGCTATCACGGAGAGATTCATGCCCTGGATTACGAGTATTACCATCATGACACCAATCAGAGGATGACAACAATCTACTTTCAGTTGTTTCTCTCGTTGAAGTAGTGTCAAGACGTCGCTCTCCTTTCCTGCGGTCTCTCCTACCACTGAGTAAGCTACTTTCTCTTTCCTCTTCACGCCAGCGGCGACTACTTTCACTCTCAGTCAGTATCCTCCTCCAATCTTTTGTCTCCTCAGATCCATCCAAGCACCAGCCCTCCTTCTGGTTGGGATCACTGGAGTTTCCAGTAGACACGGAATTTTGAAAACGTGCATCCTGATATACATGTCAAAGCAGTGAGGGGAGCATGCAAAGCAGTATAACATTTGGCAATACCTCATTAAAGTGAAAGGCAATCAAAGTATGTCAATAAAGCTTGTTTTAGGAAATACTACTATAAGAAATAGCAAAAACATGGATTCATTTTCCGTACAGAAGTTGTAAGTCCCAAGTGACCAGGATAGAAAACAATATTTGATGCAGAGGCGTATGCCAAAGATTGAATGTACATACATGTTACAAAGCCCTAAAAGTATTCAAGCTAATTGTCTCAACCAAGTTTGTGTCAAATTTTGCAAAATCACCCGAGGGGGTGGGGGGATATCAAGTTCCATGATACAATATTTCTAACCTGCAGCACAAATGCTGAGGGAAAAACTAAAAGTTTATACCACAATGCCTGAACTGCCATCGCATGCATATTTAACCTTAAAAGATTACTCTGAACTCTTAGTTTAAAGCTACTCCCATGTTCCAAGTCTTATTAACAAGAATAGTAACATAGTAAGACCTATGGGTAGGAGAGTATCCAAAGTACATTAAGAACTTCGGGACCGGTAATATGCACTAGGTAGAATGTTACTTTTGTTTCTCCACCATAAAATTAAAAGAGAAGCTTTAACAACTTAGGCAATGCAAAACCATGATATGTTTAGACAGCAGAAGAGGTATATTAATTAAAGAGAAGATAAAGTTGAGGCTCCAACATGACTGGACACTAAAATATTTTCCAACAATGAGTTTATTAAGAAAATTTACAATTGTGAATTTCCCTAAAAGAATTACATATTAAGAGTATAAAACTTTAGCTCCATTTTATATCTACTCAGGTAAACATGTCAATATTATAAAATGAAAAAAAAAAAAAAAACTCAGGAAACCTATATACCATCTTTGTCTCAGTGGGTTTAGCATAGAGCCATTGTGGAGACAAAGGTATGCTGCTCTCTGATGCCAGTTGATCTGCAGCAACCAATTAAATCAAATTAAGTGTGACTCAAAACCAAGCAGAAACCATGACAAAACGAAATGAGAGAAGCAAGCAAAATAGCTAAGACCAAGTTACTCCTTATTTGACAACACAACCACTGCAAGATCAATGGACATAAAGCTACCTTTCAATTCATCAACTTTTTCCTCATTTCCTCCTGAAGCTTCCACTGTTGTAGGATGTGCAAAAGTGAAAACAGAAGAAAAGAAAGTTAAATTTTATATATATATAATTCATTTAATTGATTGTAACATAGACAACAAGAGACACACATTCATTCTCCCCCAACAGAAGCCACAAAACACAAAAAATGATAGGTCAAGAAAATATTAATTGGTATTCAGAAATTCAAGATCTCCTAGCAACTATAACGTACTCAGTTGCAAAATCAAGCCGAAACGTATAAGTTCAATAACTAATCAACAAAGACATTGGATGATAGTTGTTCTATTAATGAAAAAAAAATGAAATGGCAGCATAAATTACAATTATTCCACGAAAATGAAAGAGTACGAACCATGTCCTAATATGAAAAATAAATTGAAAAAAAAAGAGTACGACTATCAAATCAATCGTGTAATAGACCCAAAAAATAAAACAAGAGCTCAAGAAGTTCAAAACCCTAAAAGAGGAAGTCCGAATCCAGTAACATAAATTAAATCGTACGACTACTCGGAAAGGCTACTGTTGAGATCGATAAAATCCGGAAACCTCGCATTTGCTCTACCGTCAGCAAAAATCGAGCGAATAAACACAAAAGAAAAACCGTATGAAAATGAATGGAAAGTAATGAATGAGAGAGGAAGTACCTTTGGAGGTCCACGGGCGATCAAACGGCTTAGATGAAAGTAGATCGGCAGGCAGATCAAGCTTGCCTTCAGCCATCGGACGGACAGGAAGTCGTAGATACAATAAGGAGTGTCAAAGAAAGAGAGGGTGAAGTCAGGATATGAAAGAGTAAAGGGAGAGTGATTTAAACAAAGCTCAGAAAGAAGAGAAAAGGAGGGAGAATGAGATTTTATGAAACATTGGGAGTTTTTGTTGAAAGAGGCAATTTATCAAGCGAGGAAGAGTGGTATAGCTTGCCAGAGTCTGATACAGAAAGGAAGAAAAGGGGTAAGGAGGGTTTGGGTGGTCTAACAGGCGAAATCCACTACCCAATGTTTTTTTTTTCATGCGAAAGGGAACATTCATATTTATGCTATATCCACCAAATAATGTTTGGTGTATTTATATTATGTAAAACACAGAGAATTATTATATGTTTGTTATATTTTATATAAAATTTATGTGCTATAATTTGTGTTGGTATCAAAAAATAGAAAATAAATTTTGTACATTTTATTAAACCTAAAAATGTTTTAATTAAAATTTTAATCTATATCATTTTTATATATATTTTTGTGTTTTATTACTTATCGTATTTTAAATTTTCTGAACTAGTTACAGATCAAAATTTTTTGTTTTATCATATCTATTCATTTTTTTATAAAATTTATCAAATAAAAAAATGAAATGTAGATGTTTTAATTTGTCATTTTTCTCATAAAATTAATATAAAAAACACCAAAATGAAAAACATAAAAGTGGGAAAAAGGTAAATTAAAAAATTAAAAAGAAATTAATAAAGGATGCTATATTACCCTATGATATTGAGCTTAAAATATAAAGTTCTTAAATTAAGATAAAAATTAATTTTATTAATACAATATATATGTATACAACTAAATAAATAGTAATATATATTTTTATATAACCCTCAAAATGAATTGGGATAAAACTCCATAAATGTGATTCCAACCCCTCTCACTTTTCTTTATAAAATTCAACTCATTTCAACTTAATTTCGATTAAAAAAATACCTCTTATCGAATTAAGATAGATTAAAACTCATCAAGTATAGATTGTTTTGGTATATTTATCAATTGATATTTTTTATTGCAAAATTTATTTAATTACATAAATAAAAAAGTTAAAAAAAACTAAAAAAGACCAAAAAAATAAAATTTGTATGTGATGTTGACACCTTTATTAATATCAATTTTTTAAAAATTATCAAATTAAAAAAAACATAAAGTAACTAAACAATATATTTTTAATAATAATAATATCAAATGGGTCAAACAATTAAAAAAATTCAAAATATTTATTAAATAAAAAGGAAAATTTTGTAAATAAAAATAGATTAAAAAGCAAAACCAAAAAATTAATAACAAAAGAAATCAAATTGCTCTATATGTGAATACTTTTGGCATCAAATGAGTTACTAAAAAATGAAATGTAAAAAATTATTTATTAAATATATAACAAAGAAAAAATATAGAAAAAATATATAAAATGAGAAAAAGTAAAATAAAAAATAAAGTGACATATCATTGGTATCTAGTATGTCTCAAAAATAAAATATAAAATGATTTATTAAGTTTTTTATTAAAAAAAGAAAAAAATGGTATTAAGTGGATTCAAACTAAAAATATTTATTAAATATTAAATAAATAAAAATAAAAAACATGCAGCACCAAACTAAAAGTGTTTATAAAAAATAAAGATAAAAGCGAGTACCACAAGAAATTATAATAGAAAAATAGGTCAAACATTTAAAAAATAAAAAATTAAATAAACAAAAAATACAAGGTAAAATAATGAGTTTCAAAAAAAAAAAAAAAAAAAGGGAACCCCATTGAAATAAAAACAAATATAAATAATATAAATAACTAAAAAAAAAAGTAAGCCCTAAAAAACAAAAAAAAAAAGTTAACCCCATTAAAAAATAATTTTTTTGAATAAAATATATGAAATAGTTTAAAAATAAAAAAGTAAAAAATTTTGAAAAAAATAAATGAAAAAAAACACACAAAAAGTTAATGTAACCATCATATGGTAGTAGGCCCTACTTAAAAATAAAATTGACTTTATAATAATATATATTTAAAAGTAAAAAATTAAAAATTAAAAAAAAAACTAATTGAAAAAAAAAATAAAAAGTGAGTCCCACAAAAAAAAAGCAATGAACTCCACTAAAAAAGTTAAAATTGATTTTATAATAAAAATATAAACAATTAAAAAACAAAAAAATAAAATATTTAAAAAGTAAAAAGTAAAAAGTAAAAAAAAACAACAAAAAAAAAAAACCACCAAGGTGGCTCTCAAAAAAAAAAAAAAAAACAAAAACAATAAACCTCATTAAAAAATAAAATTAAGTTCACAATAAAATTTATAAAAATAAAACAAAAAAGATAACAAGTGTAACTTTATTAAAAGAAAAAAAAAAACCAAAAAGGCAAATGTGTGGTGTCAACAATGATTTCTCATAAGTAGGATTTATATATTAGATATGGTTATTATTATATTAAATATGGTTATATGAGTTCCTAAGTTGTTAATATAACATAATTTTTTAATCCAAAAAACAGGATTAAAAGAGAGATTGTCACATGTTTAATTTTTTAAATTATTTTTTTATTTTTAATATATCTTATTAACTATTAATCCTATTTATGCAGTCCAAAATTATACTGACAATAAATTAAATAATTTCTCTTATTATATATATTATAGACAGAGGTGGTAAACTTAACAAATCTATTAAAAAATTGCTATATACTTTTCTATTTTATTAATTTGTTAACTTTTTAAAATGTTGGATCTTTATTGGAATATGCAATAACTAGCTTGTGGATATGTGAGGTATGAAATAATTTTGTTTATATATATATATATATATGCAAATAATCACTTTAAAAATACATATTAATAAAAATTTCAAAACATATAAAATTTTTTAATAAATTATATGTAAATTTTAATTATAAAAGTTGTTCTTTTTTGTAAACATTTTAAAAAATTTTAAACATCTTTAAACCTATTTTGGAATCAATATTTTTGCACTATCAAGTGAAAGTAACTATCCTTTAAAACTTTTATTGCTTATCTTATTATTAGGAAATTGAATTCAAAATTTCTACACTCTTCCTCAAACTTAGATATTAACAACAAAGCAACATACAATTTGGCCTCAAATATTAGCATAGTAGTTAAAAGTTAAAGGGCTTTAAGGTTAAAATATTTTTCTTTAATGAAGGTTCAGTGTATAACAGTGTTGTTCTACACTTAGCATACGAGACAGTTATCATGTATCCTAAAAACAATAAATTTACATATTTATGACAAACAAATTAAATAAATTTATTGGATTGGATTACTTAAATGAAATGATATCTATTAATTCCAATGTTACCTTGAAAATAGTTTGTTATTAATTCATTTTGATGCCTTATGCTAAATGATTTATTGACTTTTTTTTTTTTTTGCAACTCTCTATATTTTTTATATTTTTTAATTTACTATTCTTAAAAATATAAATTTTCACTCATAAGGGCATATACTAAATGACTAAAATAAAAAAAATATTGATTATGAAAAATCAATTAATTAAAACATTTCATACAAAAGTACTTATGTGTCACATATGTAAGATATGTGATAGGTGATAGGTGAAGACTTTTTTGAACCTCACCATTTTATTTGTTGTGTGATAATATGATCTCAATCTATATATTCTCAAACTCTATCAATATATGATTGTTTGCTTTTCTACAAATTAATAAACTTTACCTCTTAAGTATTGTTTTTAACAAAATGTTACACCTAAAGATATAGTTCTTTAATTATGTTCATTTGTAACCACCATTGATTAAAGAAAAGAATTCATAAGTGTAACCATTATTAAAATGTAAAATCCTTGATATTGATAATTTTATTTTTATAAAATTATCATAAGGATTTTATGATTAATTATAATACTTATATTCTTAATTTTTGCTTGTTTAAGTCTATTTTCCACCTAAATTTGTTTAATGTTTCCATAGCAGGAAATTAGAGGGAAAATGGGTGAATTATATACATTGTATGAGCACCATAGCCGAGACCTCTCATACATGAATTGACCACTTTTGAATGGACGGACTATAAGGGATGAATGGTAAATTACTGAGGATGAAAGACAAAACCTAAGGGTGCAAGGTAGGGGATTAAGGTTACCTAGACAACTAGATGAAATTTGCAAACTGTAAGGTGCTATTTGTACATGAAGTGTGTGATTAAGCAAGATAACAAGGATTAATAGCTGCCAATATGGATTAAAAGACCAACCAATGTCTTTTACCTTAGTAAACCAAGAGAGAAACTATGGAAAAACATGAGCAAGAAGCTAGCTCATGTGTGATAAAGAGAGGGGATCAAAGGCACAAAAAGACAAAGTTAGGACCACTTGTGAAAAGGGCAACTACTTTCATACCTTATGTTGCTAATCTACACAAATTTGAAAGGATATATGGTTCAAAAAATTTAAAAGGATGAAAGGTATGAAGATGTGGCTTTATGAGGGAAAACTATTGCACTATAACAAATTTGGTCATTAGTGGCACATCGAATAATGTTACTAAATATTTATTTTTTTGTTAGTCTATATATTCCGTGACAAAAAATTAAACGTCACAATGTTTGTCACGTTTGAACCGTTGCTAAAGGTCCAATATGACAATAACAAAATATTGTCACCTATTGTGAATTTACCGTGACAATAAAATAAAACATCACCTTATGTTTTTTATTTTTTGTGACGTTAGTTTTCATAAGCTATGTATGAAAAAAAGTCATTGAAAGCTATAATCATCACAAAAAAAAGCGAAAATTCAAAATATTAGTGACAAAAGGTAAATCATCACAATAGTAGTGACAAAATTATTATCACCAATGATTGTAAGATAATGTCTATCGTGACAATAAAATCAAGCGCCACCTTATGCTTTAATTTTTATGATGTTAGTTTTGGTTAGCTTTTTATGAACAAAAACATCATTAAAGGCTATAATCGTCACAAAATAAACAATGAAATCAAATATATTAGTGACAAAAGATAAATCGTCACAACATTAGTAACATAATTATCGTCATGAATGATTATAAGATAATGTCAAACATGATAATAAAATCAAATGTCACCTTATGATTTTTTTTGTGACGTTATTTTTTGTCAGCTATTTATAAAAAAGAATGTTATTGAAGGTTATCATTATCACAAAATAAATGATATAATCAGATATATTAATGACGAAAAATAATTCATCATAGTATTGGTAACACAATTATCATCACAAATGATTGTAAGATAACGTCAAATGTGACAATAAAATTAAATGTCATATTATGCTTTATTTTTTTGTGACGTTAGTT